CTCAGTTCCGTCATAGTACAGGCTACAGCACGGACTGTCGAACCTTTCACTGACACCACCTTTCACAATGATTGCGTCCACCAGTTGGCTGAAAAAAACGGTGTGACAACCCCGCGTCCTCGCTGATGAAAACGGTGTGTCCCATTTGTAAGGCTACAGTAAAGCTCAAGCCAGTTCGAGCCAGTTAAAGGAATGTTTCACTGCTGTATGGTGGTCCCAACTCATATAACCACAGAACAGTCCAAAGAGATAATCACAACCATAATATTTTAGTCTAGAACGTTTTGTCTCCTACGCGCCTGAAAGCACTTCATGCACCGGCCTATTCCAAATCAGGATACTCGGAAGACAAGCCATGCCAACACCAGCGGCCAGGGGTATGGTCGCGACCGCCGTTGCTGTTCAGTGGTTGGTTGGCTTTGAATACGTGCGCAGTGTCACGCACTGAGACCGAACATTTTCGTCCGCAAGTGTTCTACGTTCAGCACTTGTGACGTAAACAAATAGCATGACCATGTCCAGCGTACGCTGTTTAGCGATGTGTATCCCTTCCTGATAGGTCTTAAAAGTGAGACATTCCGTTTAACTGAAACGACTTACCGTAACGGTAGTTAGCTTACAAACAACTGGACAGTTTCGGGGTGGTTTTATATGCGCCGAATGGCCGCGCTTTCGTCATCACCTCCCGTTACCAGCCGGTCTCAGGTGCTGACCAGGTCAGCCCCTGTTCATGTGAGTCACCGCTCGAGACCTACTTTCAGGACATCCTGATCCATTGGCCGGACACGTGGGCAGGTGGAATGCCCGAAGGCCTGACTGTGTTCTTCACACTTTGTGCTTCAGCTCCATTGTTGCGGACGGAGAAATTGATGGCCTTGTTTGTTCAAGGGAAACTGTTGATCGCCAACGCCGTGAGATTGGTATCAAAATGTTTGCCTTATTTATCGGTGGTGAATGTGGTGTTCACTTCATGTGGACTGCATGGGTCAATTCATGAACGCAATAATACAGTTACATTCCGTGCGTTTTCTCTTGGAGTGGCTTCCATCAGCTAGCCGCCGCGCGGGTCCGACATTTCGTCATGAAAACCGAGGAGACACGAGGGAGAGTCGCCCATTGCGTCATCCAGCGAACACGCGACGGGATGTGGTCCATTCCCAGATATTGCATTTTGCTGTGGTAGTTGCCATACTCCCGCACGGCCGCCGCAGCTTGAACGGAGATTGCTCCATCCTGTTTTCGTGAATAAACAAATAGCGTCGATGATGCAGCATCGCACACATCGCATGTAGGCATAGACCTCACAAGATGGCATGACGCAATATGAAAGCCGACATATCACATCCCACCTTATCTTAAGCCGACTTATCACATTTAGGGGGTTAAAAGCACCCCTCTCTCTCTCTCTCTTTCTCTCCTAGTTTTGTGAACAACTTCCGACCCTTGTCAGGAAGGTTGACCACACTTCCAGGACCTGAGCGTAACATTCTGACACATTCTTGAATACAAATTGCAGTAAGGCGTTTGCGTCATGATGCCATCAGTGAAACAAGGTGTGACAGTTTGAAGTTAGTGGCAGCTGCCTTCATCACCTTCAATTGCTTTGGTGTAATTCATACAATGCCTTGAATGCCAGCGAGAGCCGGTCACAAAACACGAGGCCACGGCCCATCATCATCAGAGGTCATGTGAAGTTGTTGATTTCGGTTTTAGGGCACAACTGCTTGGTTATTCGTCGTCCATAACCAGTGTCTTAATGACGCGGAGTTAATTAAATAGTGCAAATCTACTGGTACGGACAATCTTCGAGCGACGGGTTCAACTTACACCCGCTGAGCCGTAAATTGGACATTACGCCCATGTGTGTACGCCCAAAAAAAAAATGTGTGATAAAACAGCATCCGTTGATGCCCGTTGCTTTCGTTCGAAGATCTCGATGAACCCACATATTTCGACGACCTTCAGAATGTTTTCTACCTACGTGGAAAAGTGGTGCGTAGCTTTTGTTCAGGATCACGTAGAAACATAAGGCATACAGTCCACGCTATGACAAAGTTCTGCAGCGTAGGAGCGTTAGCGTTCGTTGGTATCAGTAACAATGCTATCAGATGACCATTACGAGAACTACAGGGCCCTGAAGTTCAAACAGCATAGCGATTTTGAAGGCACTTCGCGTGAGCTGTGGCGCCATCCGTCAAGTAGCGAATGCCAATTTAAACCCACCTGAGTGAAACTGGGCAGGGCTATCGAGTATCGCTGTATGTTTCCCGATCCCGTGATTAGAGATGCAACGATGGCGCTTTTAGCCACTAGACGGTCCTGGTTGGCAAAGTAACTCACGAAAGGTCGGGATGTTTCACTTGGCGGATGGCTCCAGTTCTTTGCGCAAGACTAAACGGGAACTTTGGATCGTCCGTTGGATGTGCACTTGGGCGCAGGGACCACCACCCACATCAAATAACGCCGTCATAAAGCATCAGACAGTCGACCGAAATTTGTGTATGGAATTATCTCTCCTCTCTTGACATGAAATAACTTGATCGTGCTTACCTGGTTGCCCTTACGGAGCTTCCCGGAGCTGAAGTTTGATTATTCACATGTTCCAACTTTTTAGACGATTTGACGTGTTCACAGTGCTTGATGTTTTACTCATCCGCTGGCCAAAGTTCTACACTTGCCCTCAACGGTAAACGTCGGTTTGAAAAGAGAGCCGGAGAAGCTGTTAAATTAACGGAAATCTGCACAGTCCAGCCGCGAAAGGAAGTCAAAGAGGCCATTCGACTACACGAACGGCCGCCTAAAACGCTCGTCACACACAAACATCTATTCCTCGGGGTCGTGAGCAGAATAGCTGCCGCCTGGCGTCATTTGCTCTTCCCACCACTGATCCCGAACTCTACCTTGTGCAACCACACAGCCAGAGGCCTCGCCGCAGCCCAGTCCAACTGATGACGTCGCAAAACGCGCCCCGCTGCGCAGTCCAATAGCTTGAGGCATGTCAAACACCTCCTGCCTGGTCCCAGGGCTGTCCTCGTGTCTCGACATGCGGGCAGCCGCCACGAGCCCAGCCTCGAGAGCGGCACGGAGCATCTGCACCGAGCGTAACACGTCGTGTAACAGGTCGTGCAACACGCTCCTGTAATCCCTCACCTCCTCGCTGGCCGATGAGCAGCTCCAGCACTGTTGTCACCACGCGCGGGCTCGACGGCCGTCGGAAGGCGGCAGACTGCCATGGCCTAGAGCCCCACGTTCCGAACGCGTCTGTGTCTCGGTGCACCGGCCCGCGGCGGGTCAGCACCCCGTGCGAGGCCGCGCATCGCGGTATGGGATGGTATTTTGGCTTCATGGGCGCGTCGACCGCAGCGGTCATTTTAAGTCCCCTACTTGGTCAGGTGGTCTTCATTTCATCGACGCGTGCGTACAGCACGCTTAGCGAATGCAGAACACGCGTCAGCCAGTTGGTAACGGTCCAGCAGCGTTCGCTGGATGCCTTCCGGGCTTCGGGGTGTGCAAGACGGCGGCGCATCTCCAGATTCCCACAAAAGCTGAGCGTGCTAAGGACGGCGGAGCTGTGTTCGCGTGGCGGTTGGACCGCTGCTTGGTCGCAGAAGTGACTGGCGGCTGACGTGAATGGTGAACAACTGTGAACGTGCCCTCTGGAGACTCTCTGAGTGCGCGTGGGGCGTCGATAAGCACTAAATCCGCCGAGCAGCAGAGGCCAACGGGCTGCTGGCAGGCAGACACCACGCAAAGCTTGAGATTGTTCATTTTCATGTGGACATACAAGATCAGCAGACCGCAATACCGGCCTCAGTACTGACCTTACTGCATCATTTGGGGTAAGACAGGTGGCACGGGCGAACACGGACTAGCGAACAGCGATCTAGCGTAGGTTCCACCGCTACGGACGGAGTAAAATTGGGTTAAAACCTAAATACACCAGGCCGTATGACTATTCATCACGTACAACATGGGCTCTCCAACTGCATGGTAGGAACATTCAACCACTACAAAGCTTGTTATGGACTAAGAATCACCATTACAGATTTCGGTAGTTTCCACGACCCCGACGGTGCGCAAGCACCACCTATCACCACGGCTACCAATAGGCTCACTAGCATTTGTGCTACGCGTGTTGCGTTTTGATACAACTTGAAAGTGACGTGGCTTTGATGATACGACCCTTCTGTACAAGCGCTTCCCGGCACGAACGCCGCCGGAGAAGCGCGCGGTAACCGACAGCGCATGCCCGCCAGCGACCGGCCGGCACGGGACGCCGACCCAAGCGAGACCTCGCCCCTACACGCTGAGGTCAGCCCCACAGAAGGCAGCGGGCCACAGTCGCCGTGCAGCGACTTCACGCGTAAAATACTGGAATATTGGGAGATAGGTAACGATGAGCCGCTGAGCGCGTGTGGGTTACAGGCGGTCACGCCAAGGTGCAATCACAGGGTCAGCCTGGCGGAAACACCACCGGGACAAGCGGGCGAAATTTGGCAAACAATGCGGCCGAGGAGGCTCACGATCAAGTCAGAGAGATACAAAACAGGCAGCCTTGGGGCTCGGAACACTATCGGAAATAGCAACGCCCAGACAAGACAGTCAGCCGATTCCCACCTTCGCAAACTGAGCCGGGGGCGGGGAGCGGGTCCGTCCCGTCCGCCATCCCGCCGTCCTCACCACCGCGGCCCCGCCCGCGACGCGACCGGACCCCGCTCTCGACCGACCCGGTCTCCGCCCGCGGCCACCGCCCACCACTCAGCCGCACCGCGTGGGATGTTACAGCCAGGGGCCTCACAGACGCTGCGGGCTGCTGTTGGGGCGCCCGGTGTGGCCAGGAGCTGCTACAGACCCGGCAGCAAAGCCACTAGGAGTTGCCGAGAGCCGCCGGGAGACGGTGAGAGCTGCCAGGAGACGGCGAGAGCCGGTGGGAGGGTGCGGAGCGGACCGGGCGCGGCCGGCGCGCGCCGGCGACGGCCGCACCCGCCGCCGGCGGAGGTAGACTGGGCGGGGCGGCGCGCGGACGCAACAGAAAGACGTGGCGGCGCGGGCGCGGCGGACGCACGCGCGTTTGTACGTCACTCGTCGTCCGAGTCGGACGGGAACATGATGTCCATGAGCGAGCCGGCCTGGATGATCATCAGGTTGAGCCGGATCGCCTCGTCGGCGTCCTCCTCGTCCAGCGCCCGCATCTCGTCGCTCAGGAAGTCGCTGAGCATGACGTCCTGCCCGATCAGAGCGGACGGGTCGGCACGCGGGCAGTCAGCTGCTCAAACACTTGATGGCGTATCATGCGGCAGATCGGTAGGAAAACAAGAGCCCGGTGCGACATCGCACCAAGGGCGAAGTAGGCACAGCCGCATGGAACGAGGCGTGTCGGGCAAACGCGAGCCGCATGCATATTTTACACGCGACTATCTCTACACTGCACAGTGCAAACCGCACCGAACCGCAGACCTACAACGTTTATTTTATAATACGCACAACAGGTTTCATTGAACAGACGCTCCCTTAACAGGATGACCAATGGGGGGGGGGGGGGGCTCAATGCTGGCGAGCGCGCCGACAGGCCGGGTCAGGCAGGACAGGGCAGGGCAGGGCAGGACAGGGCAGGGCAGGGCAGGGCAGGGCAGGGCAGGGCAGGGCAGGGCAGGGTAGGGCAGGGCTGGGGTCGAGCCGGGACGTACAGGAAAGGCACGTACCGACATGAGTTCGGTCTCGATCAGATGGTTCTGGCGGCGGCGGCGGCGCGGCGGCCCCAGCTCCGCCTGCCGGCCGTCCGGGTACGTGTGCCGGTAGAAACACTTGTTGCCGAACGGACACTCCCCGCGGCCCTCGTTGAAGTGCTTGCAAGGCTTGTTGCTGTTGTGATACAGGGGCGGCGTCAAATACCATCCACAATTTACATATATATATATATATATATATATATATATATATATATATAAATTTAACGCAGCGTCGTGCTTATGACCAAATTGCAACTATATTTATGCCGCATACGTCACAATTTTCGTTACCAGTTTAGTAGGCGCATCTGTCCCGTCATCTCCGGCATAACCATCACTTCGTAAATATGATCGCAGAGGCCAACACTGCAGGACCCACAGCAGCAGTTGATTTGTCTGGCCACTATGTACACCATATATTGACAAAGAAGCGACCTGCAGAGCTCGCGACAAGCCTGACAGCCTGAGCCTGGACGCGATACAAATGATCCAACACACAGCGGACAGAACGGGCTGTAAACACGCGCAACAGCACGTCACGCACCTGCAGGATTTGATGTAGTCGTTGATGAGCTTGGTCTTCTCCTCCGAGTCGTCCACCCAGTAGCGACTGGGGCAGATGAAGTCGCTGTGCACCCGGCACTCCGGACAGCCCCTGCAAGCGCGCCACGCCCGTGGGATGGGTTGCTCGGCAGGCCGGTTTGCGACGACGCCTGCCTGTGCAGGCTCGTTGGCCAACGTTTCCACCGCGAATGGTGACAGTGAGTTCTCATCAAAGGGTTAGGTCGCACTGGCGTTCTAGTTCGTGCGGTACACAGGTAAATTATTCAAGGACCGCCGCACTGATCGCATTGAGAGCACCACTCGGTGTCTCTCCCTTCTTTCACCGACCGGTGTGAGACGTTAAACAGTGTGCCACCAACAATAACGTTTCTCTCCCTTCTTTCACCAACCAGTGCGAGACGTACAGCAGTGCGCCGCCCACAATGACGTAATGATGGGCTGTGACTTTTTTTACCTCCCATGCGTGAGAGCGGAATGCTAGGATAAGACTCGTTCAGGTTGTTTACCTCAGCAGGTCAAAATAAATCGAGCTGCACATTCACAATTTTCAGGAGCTGTTGCCTCATCCACTTGATACCAGACGTTGGGTGATAAAAAAGCATCTCAATACAGCAAACCACCTTAAGTAGGCAACAAATCATTTCATGGCGTTGGCCGGCGAACTATCCGGATTTGATTGCTGTTGGAATAATGCGGCTAGTCGGACGTCGAATAGCACATTAGTCTGTGCCAGATTCAGCGAAAATTCACATGAAATTGGTACACCGTCTCTGTCCTTGAAAGCCCCACCAAGAGCGACCACAAAGCGTCACAGACAACATATTCTCATTGCGGGCGGTGGGACATCACCGATTTTTTTGCATCAAGCCCGATCATGTCAAATCATCACTTTGCATCCATACATGCGCGATGGCAATCACACTTGCAATATCACTATCTTCTCGCAATCCGATTGCATTGCGCCACGGGTAAACTGATGAGCATTTCAGGAGCCGCGTTACGTGGCACAACCGGCGCCGCCAGCCGGGCTGGGTGGCCCGCAGAAAGCTCCCTACCAAATTTTACGCGAACATCTTGCAAATCCGGGCGTCGACAGGGAAGCAGGTACAACGCCTACACAATCCGATGGCACTCGGATGGCGAAGTGAAAGTTGGCGGTACGTTGTGCCCTCCCCCCCCCCCCCCCCCCGCCCTCCCTCTCAGCTCCCAACCCATGCCCACCAAAGCAAGTCCAGCTCCTTCACATTGGTGGTCATCCACCAATCCAGTGCATTCGTGGATTAACACCAATGTGCGCGTGAAACGGGCCCACCACATTACCGGCCGACGGCATCTCAGTTTGGTGTTTAAAACCTGAACTGGCGGGAGAACTCTCCCACTTTGGAGTCGAAAAGACTGGAGAAATCCCTTCGGGTAACTCTGGAGAGGAAGTGAACAAGCGTCTCTCACCTGGTTACTTTGGCCTCGAACTGGCTGGAGGAGCGCCACTGCCGGATGCAAGCTACGCAGAAGCAGTGGCTGCAGCTGGGTAGGATTCCGAATCGCCGGGCGCTCAGCTCCTTCTGCAACGTTGCAACATTGCACCCTGGCGTTGGCGTTGGCAACGGCAATGACCAATGGCAGCGACAATGGCGTGCAATGCGTGTAAGTAATCTAATGCAATAACGTTTGCCGACAGATCATACACCGCTTGACAAATGCATCATTAACGTCGCATCCGATATCACAATCACGAATGCACCCCGTGGCCGAATCTGAACCTTCTCCCCGCTCACGTCTTGCTCGGATGGTGGCTCCAGAAGACAAGTTCCCCTTCATGGAGCTGCGAATGCCGACCCTCAGCGGCGCCACCCACGGCTCCACCTCACCCCGCCGGCCAAACCCCCGCGCCAGAGGCCGCGCCTCACCTTCTCGACCACCACCTCCATGCAGATGCCGCACATCTTGTCAATGGACTTGGCCATGCGGAACGAGTGCTCCATGTCCTTCTCGTGCGTGCTGAGGCACTCGGCGCGGTGGCGGCGCCGCTGAGCGGCGTCGTTCGGGTGCAGCACGGCGCACTGGCAGTACTCGCACACGTCGCCGTGTAGCAGCACGCAGTGCACGCCGTACCTGGGGCGGAGCGGCGCCGGACGCTTGTCAGGGCCGGCGCGCTCGCCGCATTGTCGCTAACCGGCCAATGCGCGCGGCCTGGCGCGCGGCGGCAGTCGTGGCGCTACGTGCAAGGGCGCGCGGCGACGTGCCCTCGGGGTCTCCCTTTCGAGATGGGGTTTGGGGGCGTCAGGGAGAGTTTGGAGGAGCCGACGGTGGATTCGGCATCGACGCGTGGGTTGGGGGGGGGGGGGGAGGGACGAACGAGCACAACGCTCAGAGATCGCTTGCCACAGACGGTCGGATCCAAGTCGCCGCGTGTGGTACATGACTGATGACCAATGAATACGAGGTGGATAACGCTAGGACAACAAAGGTGGTCGGAAGTCACCAGCTGCCATCCACGGATCACCTATGACCGGTTCGAGATAACCAGCGACCTAACAGACACCGTCCGGCGCCACACGTCCGCAGTGACCGGCCGGCGTCGGCAGCGTCTGAACCCCAAACCCATCCGTGGCCGATCGGCCGTCGGCATCGAGCACCCACCACACACACATACACACGCATGCACGTGACCCCACCTGCACTCGCCGACGGCGGCATACGGACAGAGCGGCACCAGCTCCGCGTCGTCAGGGTCGCGGCCGGAGCCGGAGGGCTGCACCACAGCCGCGTACGAACGCGTATCCGGACCTGCGGCCATCCCCGCAGCTGGCTTTCATGGCGCATACGAGTGACATGTACAACATACGTTGTATGTGGTATGTACAGTGGCCTTGAACACAATGACATATAGATGTAGTGATATATCCCGCAGTGCCGCACATGTGTCAGCATCGAGGTATTACTGGTGTACACCGGCATGCATGGCGCACACCCCAGTAACATCAACCTCTCTGGCTGTCCGCCGGCGTGGGGGGTTCGCCGTCAGCACAAGGCTGAGCTCACGGCGCGCGGCCTACCTGACGCCGGAGGTACTCGGCCTGAGCTGGGCACGAACTCGGGCGCGTCCGCCCAGTTCACCGGCACTCGCGCGCCGGTCGACATGTCCCGCAGGCAGATGTCCTTCATCGGCCGCCTGGGTCAGACGGACGGCCGCCGGCCGAGGCGGTGAGTTCGGGTCGGCGGCGACAGAGCGGCACCGCGGCTCCCATACAAACGTTACTCATATGAGTCAAAAGCATGCGATTTGATGCGCGAAACGGATAAACAGAGCGGCGACGTAATAACTAAGCAATTGCAATGGTACGCATAACACCACAACACAAAGACCGAGCCAGCTGGATCTTTACGACACGTCCGTTACGGTCCGTCGCAGTCCGCCGTCGCCGCCGTCGCCACCGCCGCCCTCACCTGCCGCCGTTGCCGCCAGTCTTGCTCGGCTGACCGGCGGCTGTCGGCGCCGCGTCGGCCGCCGACTGTCGGCCGGCCGCCTCGGCCTGCGTCTCGTGCAGGTACTGGCACTTGCTGCCGTACGCGCACGTGCCGCACTTGTAGAAGCGGCACGGCAGCGTGGGTCGCGCCAGGTTCGAGTCGTGCGAGTACGTGCAGCCCGTGCCGTTGCGACACGTGCCGTACATGAAGTATCTGCGCGCCAGGCGCTGGCGTGAGCAGGGTGGGAGGTTGCTGGTTTCGGCCACGTGACCAATGCCCGCCATGGAAGGCAGATCTGTTCAACTCACCACAGTGAACATGTGGGATCAGATACCACTGAGATCTTACTGATAAATATTCCAGGGTCACCAGCAGTGCATAATAAACAATTCAACCTGACCACATTCTACACACCAAAAAGCTCCTAATCAATGCAAATGGCCCATCTGAGATGAACAGCTTTCCACAACACTATTCAAGCATGGAAGGAACCAAGCCCCTCTCAGCTAGCTGATCAGCTTGTATGGCATCACACATGCTTGGTCATGCTTGCAACGCATGACTGGTCAGCTGGTGCTGACAGCTGACGAGAATGTTCCAATGTATTGAAGTCTCATCCATACCAGGTTCATCAAGGAGTGTATTAACAAAGTACAGCTGACAAAACCTTTGACATAAATTCTGGAAAACCTGATTTAGCCATAGTCTATTGATAAATAAGTTGGCAGCAGGTGGACTAGACTGAACAATGATGGCAATGAAAGGGCTTGGCGGAAATGACCACTTAGAACAAAAAATTGTTAGCGCACAATATGTCACTGGCAAAACTGCATTCTAAGGCAGACATGTTTGATTTAATTACATAGATAAATGGACAAATGTAGACTCAACAGTGGGACCATTTGTGGTCACCAGGCTGAACTCAGAAAATCTGAGTGAGTTAATGATGCAAATGGAACATAAATTGAAAACAGCTGTGGCTAAGTAGCATTTTTTTTCCTTAGTTCTCCCAAGCTCATGGCTGAATGGAATGTTCTGAGTGTTATTAGTGCAAGGCTTTCATTACATAAATGTATCAGAGGCACACAAACATATCTAGTGTGTATAAAAAAGCAGCCCCAATTTTTCTATGCTCAGGCACATATCATAGAGTACACATACTCTATAAGCATAACGCAGGCTATGTTCTGGGCAAGGACTGGATTACATACTTGAATAGGATGCAAACACACCAGATGATAATTGTTATGCATGGTTAGGAGTCTCCAAGTAAAAATGACACACATGGCTGATATTTGGTTGTAATTATCAAGTTACATGTGCTTTTTGGCAATGTTTGGTGCAATTTTGGCATTTCAATCCAGAGTTTTCACCGATATGTGATACAAAAAGATACTAGCACGGGGACTCTAAAAAAACTCTAAAAAGATACTAGCACATTGATATAAGACCACTCAGTGGTCTTAACATCAATATTTCAGTGCCTGTTTTATTTATGGTTGGTCTTCTGTAATTGCCACATTGCAGGATCATGGGGGTTAAGTGTTCTGAGGATCCTATGAATGATCATTAATGGAAACTTAATACAAACACCTTGGAACTTGATTGACAGAAAGTATCTATTAATGGAAACTTAATACAAACACCTTGGAACTTGATTGACAGAAAGTATCTATCTATATGAATTAAAACCTAATGTTCTAAGAGCTTGTAAGTGGAACCACAGAAACAGCGCAACCTACAGAACTGGTGCAGCCCAAAATTGTGATTCCCCTTTGTCTTTGATTGTGCCAGAAAACTAAAAGTGAAATGGACAAAATTGGCTGACAGCATGCATCTCAGTATAGGAAATTGCTTAGCTAAATAGCTTAAGCTGCTATGCAACATATGCAAAATTGAGATGCACACAAACAATAAAGCAGATTATTACCCAGAGCAAACTCATGTGAGATGTAAAATAGCCCAAATCATCCAGAGCCAGAAAATACAGCACCTACCTGCAAAGGACATTATTTGTCCAGCCCTCAGCCATCACTTTTTGATTCACAGAGCCACCCAATTTCACTTCTCTGTTCACAGCAGATTTACATCTGAAACATTAAAATGATGCTGTCACATTGCATGCCACACTGACTTGGAGCTGCCCCTACACACTTCATACTGACTGTCTAGAACCAAACCTTCATAATATATCACAAGGCTTGCAAATGCTTACCTGAATTAAAGTAAGCAATAATTCACTAAAATATGGAAGTGGATAGTATGGCAGCTGAACAAAATAAATTCACACCATTATAGAGGTAATTAAGGATGGTCAAAAGGCTTCTCATCAGTTAAAGGGGGCTGCAGCATCTCACATCTTTGAGTAACAAGTGGTCCCAAATCAGGGAGAAACCTGTTTTTGATACCTTCTGTGGATATGTTTTGCTATATTTCCCCCCTCTGCCACCTATGCCCTCTCCCCAAGCTTGTTTCACTTATTCTGTGTTGAAACTGCATTATTTAATCATGGTCAAAATATGAAAAATTATGTTTGTGCTCAGACTTCAACATGGAGACTATAAGTTTGGGAATTAGGAAGTTCCAGCTGTGAATGACATATGCATGCCAAGCATAGTGGCATATACACTGAATGTACACAGGTTGTTATTATGAAAAAATGACTAGACCAGCCTGCAATAAATCCAATCATTGAGCATGCTGCTTATATGAGGCATGTGCACTGAATATCAAGGATGTGTGCACCACAGTCAGGCCAGGCCAACATACCCAGTCTTAAATGTTTACTTGAAAATTTGTTTTGGGTATTCTTACTTGAAATTTCACTAGCTTCATCACAGTGGCTTGAACCAATACCTATTCATGCACTCGGATCAGTAGTGGCTGTGCCAAAATATGGGCTATCAGCCTATATGTGTGTGCAATGAGGTTGTCAGTTGTCACTACCATGCCAGACATGTTGAGTATGCCTGCATTTTTTGCAGTGTAATAACCAGAGGAGGCTAGACACCTCAGTGCTTGGCAGCTGACAGGTTTTCCATTTGCAATGGTTCATAAAGAGGGATGAAGGAACAAATTGGAGAGGACACATGCATAACGAGAGGATGGCAATCTGTTGACTCAGCCTTTTCCTGTTAACCATCAAAATATCCCGAGATACCTGACGGCGACAAAAGACACTCTGCCCATGACAAACCTGAGAACACTGAGCAAAGACCACTGCTTACAATATCTCAGTCCCAATTTTCACGCATAGTCCGTCCACCCTATTCTTCTTTACCAACGTCTTTTGGTTCTCAATCTGGGTATGTCTGCTAATGCGGCGCACGTACGGCAATATGTACGCCCCGCTGACAGCCATTCGTTCCACTGTTTTGTTCCCACCAACTGTTCCCACTGAACAAAGTCCAGCTTAGACTAAGCTTGTGAAATGCTTCACAAATGTTTAATGTTTTCACGCTTTAAAGGTATTATAAATTTGTATGGGATATAAATAAAATAAAAAGCACTTTTATGCAAATAAAAAGATTAAAAGCATAGCAGAGCATATTTCAGACTAGCAGACAGCTGGAAGAGCAATAGCCCTCGCGACAATAAGTGCTGCAACGACGAATTTTGGCAGGCAGTCTGCCAGTGTGATTCTTTTCGGCAAGTGCGATTTTGGGCCAACTCGTTGGATTGTATTATAGGGTCTAACGCAGATTACTTCACACTGACTTTCGGGCTGGCATCACGGGTGGGCCTCATAGTGCAGGCCGACTCAGTTCGAATTTGTTTTATATAAGCGACCCGTGCTGTCCCAGAAGCCTAATGTAAACGGATGCCGCGCTATGCTGAAGAAAATCCTGCTTCGTTTTACTCTCAAAATATGATGCCTGTTGGTATAGCGTGTGTGCATTGTAATATGCATATGCAGCATGCATGTGTGCATGTCAGTTCTGTGCTGAAATGGTATATTTTGTTTGGAAATATGTTAGGGAGGTAGTAGGGAAAATGGCTAAACCTCCCCCCAAATGCACTAAAATAGGCATATAGTTAGCAGATGTATAAAATAGTAGGAAGTAGGTATGTCCATATTTAATTCACTTCCATCTCAGAATTGGGGAGGTTCTTACTTAAATAGGTAGCTGCACCTTAGTGCTTGTTTTAGTTAATGAAGGGTAGTAATGCCAAGCCTAACTGAAATCAGGTGTTAGGCCAATGTTTCTGGCTTTAAAGGTGATGCATTATAGTGCCAAGGCTAAGAGGCCTATTCACTTTGAGTGCTCATAATCAGCATGGTATATTGATCGAAGTAAAATCTTGAAGATGCAGACCATGACTTAAGCAAATTAAGATTAATAGTATATATATATATATATATATATATATATATCCCTCTCTCTCGAAGTTTTTATGATGTGTAGTTCAGCACCCAATGGTAATCAGAGCAGACTTTTTTCATTAGGCTCAAAATTTGTGGTCTCATGTACCTTAGCTCAACACTGAAAAATTTCAAAGACTAAGGTGGTACAACTTTAAGATATGATAGGTCCAAGCTCAAGATTGATAATAACAGACCCTTTTAATTAGCTGAAAATTAGCATGCTCTGACCATGAGCTGAGCAGCTGAGGAATTCCAAAGTTGTGTTGGGCACACAAAACTTTCTTGATATTACATCTCAGAGCTCAAGGTTTATAAGTACAAACCCTCTTGATTGAGTGGAAAATTATACAGAGATGTTGACCCAGGCATTAGGAATTACCAAAAGATAAGGTGGACATACAATAGTCTGTTGGCCATGTTAGACCAAACTTTGAGGTCATTTATTGGGGACCCTTTCTACTGTGGTAGGAATATGTAGTCTCACAGAGCTTAATGAAAACATTTCAAAACCTGAATATTTAAGGATACACAAAACTTGCTGGTATCTTTTTCTTGCAAAGAGCTCTGAGCTCACTTGGCATGAAAAGCTTCTAATGTGCACCTCAGCTTTTTGGGGTGTTCAGATGTTAAGGTCAGCATGCTTCAGTCCACCAAAGTTTAGCTCTTTCAAAAGCCTGCTTTTTCACCTAAAACCTTTAACTATAATATCTTAAAACATTTGTATGTCCACCTCAACTTTCAGGATCTTTAAATGCTTAGGTTGTTGTCTGAGTCTACAAGCTGTAAGCTCAGTAGGGTCCACCGTGATAATTTGTGCACTTTGACCTATAACATTTTGGGAAGTTTCGTATTTCCAACATAGCTTTTTAGGTTCCCAAATGATTATGTCATAGTCTATCAGTCTACAAATCTTGGACCCAATCAAAATGATCCGCTTCAAAATTTCTTGTCAAGGTGACACATCTGCTTGAAGACCAAAGGCTTAGCAAATTTTCTGGTAAGACCAACAGCTTAGAAAATACTGCACAAGTAGCTTATCTGAACATTGGACCCACACTTTACAGTGTCATGTCTGGGATGGATAAGTCTATATGATTTGCTTCTGGCCACCCCGGCCATTTTGTGTGACTGATTGCACCCTGTATTTCCACGGCTTATTTCCTCAGTGATGCACTGCCAATCATTTTGTAAGCCCTCCCATGGGCTGTAAGCCTGCCTGTTACCATTGTATGTTCATTATTTGTGATCCTCTGTTGTAACCCTCCCCCTTCTGCTCCAGCCACCATGCTGAAGAACATTCCATCTAACCTGTCCCCGGACCTGCTGCACGTGCTGGCCAGCATGGGGCACGGCGACGAGCTGGTGCTGGCCGACGCCAACTTCCCGACCAGTTCCACGTGCCGGGCGGGGCCGCGAGAGGTGCGTGCCGATGGGCAGACGATCCCGCAGCTGCTGGAGAGCCTGCTGCAGCTGCTGCCGCTCGACTCGTACGTGCCGCAGCCGGTGGCGCTTATGGACATGGTGCCCGAGGACAAGGCGGCTGGACTCCAGGTACGCTGCTTTCTTACTAGCGACCCGAGGTCGGGGGGCAGGGACAGTGTTGTTAGTTGACGAAATTGAATATTCTCAGTGGCCTATCAGAAGCCCATCAGTTGGCTGGTGTCAAATTGGACGGGAACGTTTCGGATAGGGGTCCGCTCAGTGGAACGACGCTTCGAGCGACTGTCTACCGAGCGGCGTGCTTTCTGAGCCGTCCACTTGCTGGATGGTGGTGAGTGGTCTTAGGCACCCGTTTGTTGCGCAGATGTCTTTCGCACTCGTATTTTTGTCGGGACGTTGTTTTTTGCCGAAAAAATAGGTACCAAAGTGGTCGAGCGCCGCGCTCAGTGTAGGGCGGTTTTGCAGACCACCGTCTGCTGAGCGGACCGGTGTTTCAGTGGCGCGGCTGTGAAGTAGAGCGGTATTTCAGACGTTCGCTGCAGAGGGCAGTAGTTGTTTTAGATTACTATCAGTTGGGACAAGCGTGGCGTTACAATGTGTGTATGTGGTTTTTTTAGTGTTTTCGGACGTTCACATGTTGAAGGAACGGCTTTACAGACGTTCGGCTGTTTGTGGATGAATGTTACAGACGTCCGACGAATTGTGGGGCGGCGTTGCACGTGTCCGACTATTTGTATACAGTGTTTCGGACATCCGACTCTTTATGGGGAGGTGTTGCAGGTGTCCGATTAATTGTGGAGCGGCGTTACAGATGTCTGACTAATTGTGAAGCGGCGTTACGGATATCTGACTAATTGTGAAGCGGCGTTACATAAGTCCGGCTATCTGCAGAGAGGTGTTTCAGACGTCCGACGAATTGTGGAGGGGCGTTACAGGTCTCCGATTAGTTGTGGTGCAGTAGTTCAGACATCGGCCTATTTATGGAGAGGTGCTAAAACGTCCGACTAATTGTGATGCAGCTTTTGAGACGTCTGATTGTTCGGAGAGATTTTATAGGCGTCAGACTGTTTTTGATGCGGCGTTTCAAACATCTGACTGTTTTTGAAGAGATGTTACAGACGTCCAGCTGCTTGCGATGTGGCGTTTCAGATGCCCGACTATCTGTGGAGAGATGTTTCAGACGTCCATCTGCTGAGCGTGCCTGCGTTTCAGCCGTCGTGTGCTGACGGCGACGGTGTTTCAGGCGCCCGTCTGGGAGGAGTACCGTCGCCTCCTGGCGCTTTCGGAGGGCGCGCCCGTTGGCGTGGAGCTGGTGGAGCGGTTCGCCTTCTACGAGCGCGCTAAGAGGTCGTTCGCCGTTGTGCACACTGGCGAGCGCTCCCTGTACGGAAACATCATCCTGAAGAAGGGGGTGATCAAGCAGGCGTGATGCAGCGGAGCAGGCGTATGCCCACCGCGCTAGCGGTCGCGAGGCGGTAGATATTGGGAATTATGCGATATGG